TTGTCCAAAACTCCTGCTCTCAACTTGAGTTCATGTGTCTTGTGGAAGTACAAGTGGTAATTATACAAGTCTTTCCTTCCCTGTCATTGGCAACAGTAACCAGGGAAATTTACAGCCCCCAATATCCAGATCTGGAAACTGGTTATTAAACGTGGTCGAGGAAAACCCTGACGTGGCAAATGGGATCTGAGCAAGGACCAGCTCAGCAGTGGTTCTTGTGAGAGAATGGCTGGGAGTCAGCAATCCGACTTCATTAAACATTTTTATTATTTGTGATATTATTACCGGTAAAAACATTTCCATTTGTTTAGGATCTATTATGTGGCTGGCATTGTGTTAAATGACCATTTGATCCTTGTTAAAAGACAACAACTCAAACCTTCTGGAACTGTATTATAATGTTAGGATGAGGAAACAAACAGAGAAAAGACTGAGTAACTGACCAAGGGTTATTTATTTGGCGTGCTGTGGAGTCAGAATTTTAAGAGACTGTAAACTCAGATGCACTCAGGGATCAGGCAAGTTACACACAAAGGTGAAGTTGGCCAGGTGTAATATTTTAGAGAGAAGTAAGGACAAGAGAAATGGCAAGCATACCCAAAACTTCCACAGGCATGCCAGCTCCAAGCCTACCACTTACTGCACCATCAAAAAAGTTTATCCAGGTGCAAATGGCTCATGCCTATAACTCCAGCAGTTTGGGAGGCTGAGATAGGAGGATAGATTCAGGCCAGGAATTCAAGACTGGCTTGGGCAATATAGTGAGACCCCAACTCTACAAAATTAAAAAAAAAAAAAAGCTGGGCATGGTAGTGTGTACCTATAGTCCCAGCTACTCAGAAGGCTGAGGCAGGAGGATTGCTTGAGCCCAGGAGTTGAAGGCTGCAGTGAGCTATGACTGTACTACTGCACTCCAACTGTGGCAACAGAGCAAGACTCTATCCCACACACACAAACAAACAGACAAGAAACAGGAGTTAGAAAAACAAATTTTCAGGTGCAGTGGCTCCTGTAATCCCAGAAATTTGGGACGCCAAGGCAGGTGGATTACTTGAGGTCAGGAGATTAAGACCAGCCTGGCCCATCTCCACTAAAAATACAAAAATTAGCCAGGCATGATGGCACACACCTGTAATCCCAGCTACTTGGGTGGGTGAGGTAGGAAGATTGCTTAAGCCTGGGATGCAGAGGTTGCAGCAAACCAAGACTGTGCAACTGCACTCCAGCCTGAGTGACAAGGTGAAACTCTGTCTCAAAAAAAAAAAAAAAAAAAAAAAAAAATGAATTTTAAGATATCGTGCCTCCCACAGAAACAAAAGCAAACAGAAGAAACCCTAAATCCTACATGTATTTCACAGGCCTTAGTTTGCCACCCTCTGTGATGTTAAACTGGATTAACACTCGATGGCATTACATTTTTTAGGGTAAACTTTTTAAATGAGATAAAAGAGAGAGGTAGAAAAGTATACAAAGTGTAAGTACATCATTTGATGAATTTTTGCAAACTGAATAGGGTCATGTAATAAATTTCCAGGTCAAGAATTCCAACTCCTAACCCTATATATTAATTTTGCCTTTTTCTGAGCTTCATATGATATAATCATATTGTATGTCCTCCTTTGTACATCTGCTTTCACCCTGTATTCTGTAAGATTTGTTCCTGTAGCAGCAGGAAGCAATGGTTCCTTCTGAAGAGCTTTTATTCTCAAATCTGGTGCTTGATTTATTCACCTGATATATTAGTTCATTCTAACACTGCTATGAAGAACTGCCTGAGACTGGGTAATTTATAAAGGAAAGAGGCTTAATTGACTTACAGTTCAGCATGGCTTGAGGGGCCTCAGGAAACTTACAATCATGGTGAAAGGCAAAGGGGAAGCAAGGCACTTTCTTCACAAGGTGGCAGTGGGAGAACTGCAAGCAGGGGAAATGCCAGAGGTTTATACAATCATCAGTTCTCATAAGAACTCACTCACTATCATGAGAACAGCACGGCGTAAACAGCCCCCATCATCCAATCACCTTCCACCAGATCCCTCCTAGACATGTGGGGATTATGTGAACTATGATTCAAGATGACATTTGGGTGGGAACACAGCCAAATCGTGTCACCTAGAGTATCTTATACCCGTGCAACGAAAGAGGAAGACTTCCTTCTCTGAATGTCGATTCTAAAAACGAAAACAAGCTGCTCTAGTACTTTGTTAGAGTTGTGGAAAGTACTGTTGTTAAAATGTATTTTCCCATGAATTGCCACGTTCTGTCCATTCACATGCCATATCAGGTAGTTGGGAGCCATGTTATTCCCATTGACTGTGTTGAGAAACAGAGGTCACATGCAGTTGCATGATTGTATGCTTTTCCTAAGCACAAGTTAGCCAAAATAGTCTAACTGGCAAAACAGTTAGACAACTGAGATTGTCTGGCAAATCTCAGTTGGCAAAATAGACAACTGAGATTTTAGTTGAGGTTTACTGATTAATAATCTGATGCTATTTCCACCTGAACACATACCCGTTAGCATGGTACCCAAGGCCCTCTCCCACCTCAGGGTGGGGGGATCTGTTCAGTCCCCTTTTACCGGGTGCTCCATCTGCAACCGCAAGGTTGTTCAAGGAAGTGTGGGAGGTCAGCGGGGGGCTGGTGCCCAGAGACTGAGGGCTTGGAAGAAACCCAAGAGGCCTGAGGATAACAAGGTTAAATCCAGTGCACTAAGCTTTGTCTAGGCTCTCCTTTTGCTGTGTCTTGATTTCCCCTGGGAGCCACAGTCTTACTGTGTGGCAGTCCGTTCTCTTGTACTACTGGTTAACTACAGAAATTGGTAATGAAGCCACCAGCCCCCTGAGGCCCTGCGTGTCATGTGGCCATGTTAGAAACCAAATGCATCCCAGAAACACTGAGTGGGATCTGAACTTCACTCCCTAATGTCTCACTGGCCTGACCTGTGAGACACCCCAATACCTCCCTTAAGCACAAGAGCCTGCTGGGCACTGGGTTCAAAGCCTGGCTCCACCACTTAACTATCTGGGAGCCCCTGGGTGAGGCACGTAAACTCTCTAGGCCTTCTTTTCTTTGTCTGTAAAATGAGGTTAACAATAGTGCCTGTCTCAAGGGATTACTATGAGGCTAAGAGTTCATGTAAGCACAGCCTTTAGCACAATACTGGCATCAAATATGCACTCTAGAATTGCATGTTGCTTCTGGTCATCTCTGTGGACCTCCATTTCCTTTGCTGTAAAATGTGGGTCATGACAATAGCTACCTTGTGGGACTGTTGTCAGGAATAAGCAGAGTTGATCCACGTAAGTCCTTAGTATCGTGGTCTGGCTCCTAGCAAATGCTCGATAATGTTCAGTTATTTATTATTAGTGTAATTATTATTATGGATCAGCAATTCTACAAATTAGGATGTCTCTCTAGTCTTTTGTAATGGCAGTCCACAGACACCAGATGTAGTCAAACCTCCAGAGTATCAAACTTAAGTCTCTGTGCTTCTGTGGAACTAAGGGTACAGATAAACCTACAGTCGGAGTCCAGCAGTGTGTGGGCTGGTACCTTCTTACCGAAAAGAGCAATTTCTAGGTAAAGAAGCAGAGGTTCCATGTGGCCAGCTGGATTTACATAACCGGGCCTGAATGCCAGCTGCTGCTTCAGGAAGTTCTAGGCGGTAAGAAATTCTATTCCAACTCTTTCTATAAAAAAAAAAAAAAGGCAACAGAGTTAAAAGGGAAAACAACTTTGCAGGTCCCCCCAAATGTACCCAACTTTGAGGGATGGTCACGTGTGGTGACTTTGAGCCCAGAAATGTTTCTTCACGTACAGAAACAAAATATTTCCCCCATGTTGTCAAGAGTCAGCTGGAGGAAGGTTTTGTTCCTTCCTCTCCTTCTCAAAGAGTTCAGGGACACATATTCCTGTTTCCAGAGCTCTAGGGACAGTCTTGGATTGCCATGAACTTACCATGTATGTGTGGATCAGTCACTTCTGACTTGGCCTCAGTTTCTTCATCTGGTAAAATGAAGATGTTGGATTACACGACATCTAACATACTTTCTAGCTCTGACAATCAATTACTCATTGATTTCACTCATGGTAAGAATTGGAAATTCATTCCCTGGAATCTAAATCCAACCATTAAAGGAACCAGGGGCTGGTTCTGCAGGCCACAAAAGGACATTTAGCAGTGAGGTTCTTCACTGATCCACAGACAGGCTGTAAAGGCTGGTGAGCCCTTGCATGGACAATTGTGTGTGTATCCAAGCAGTGGCAGGGCTAGCCATATTTTTGCTTGACCAGCTTTCTTGTCCCTCTCTTCTAGAATAGAATCCATTTTTCCCTGTTGGAAACTGCTCTCCACCACCCTTGCCAGTGAGGCTGTCAATCACATGGCCTTGGAAAAGGTGATTGTGTGCATGATCCAATAAAGAAGCACCAAGTGTACCTTTAGGGGACAGATGTAGAAGCTCAGAGAGATAAGGTCTCTCCTTTAAAAATCAAAAGTACTCAAAGCTGTTGGAAGTCATCTTTGCAACCAAGTAGAGAGAGCTCAGCAGAGTCCAAAGCCAACCCAACAGAAAGTGCAGAGGGAAATAGGGAGAGAAGGAGGGGAAAGGGAGAAGAAGGAGAGAAGGAGAAAGAGATAGGAAGAGGGAGAAAAAGGTAAGAGACAAAAGATGGGAAGGAGGAAGAGAGGGAGGGATCAGGAGACACAGAGGAAGAGATTGAGAGAGGGAGAAAGAGAAAGGACACAGGGAAGGAAGAAAGAAGGCAGACACTGCCAATAACTTGAATTTCCTAATTTGAACCTCTGATTTTCTAATTTGAACCTCTAGATCCAGATGTACATAAAGGAAGACTTATGTCTTCACCTTTCCAGTTAAGTGAGCCAATAACTTCCCTATTTACTTCAGTCCATGGGGTTCTTCAAATAGGGATCCATGACCCTCAAAATATTAGAAACCGCACAATTGGAGCATTTATTAGAGATAGAATGAACTCACTTCAGAAAGAAACAAGGTTTATTTGATGAATATAAATAAGGCGATCAGCACAAAGTACTTCTCATACACATGATAACAAATTTATGAACTGTACATAGCTTGTACATTGTTCTACTAGACACGAGGTTACAATGACTGGCTAATACATGCCCACTGGTAGTTTCCAGGGTTCCTTAGTTTTATTTATTTATTTTTCATATCGATGTCCATAATCACATGGTCAATATCACAACCCACATGCCACTCACTTGAAGAAATATTACAAGAAGCACTATCAAACGAGGGTCTCAGGGAATTAGATACACTGACCCTCGGCAGCATTCAATCGCCACTCTACACAAAAACATTGCAGATAGAGCTTATGTCAACACATTTGAGGTCTCGTCATAAACACTGTTTAAAAAGTAAATTGAAACCCACTTTCAAATGAAAGTTGACACGCTGTTAACGTGCATACTGGATACACAAAAATCATTAAATACAAAATTGAGACTGTACATCAAAATCAAATGGGGCATAAAGTACAAGCTTGCTTTTGCACAAAGTAAGACCAACTTCTCCTAAATGTTAGCCCACACTTTTTTTTTCAACTAAGTTATGATTAGAAGGAAACCTGTTAACGTTTGCGCAAAGGAAATAGCTTCCCAACATCACAGTGTTCGTTGTAAACCCAGAGACTATTCTTAATATGTGAAAAAGGGATATTCTAGGTAACCCCCAAACATCAGAGAATATGACATGAAATGGAAAAGGTTGTTATGTTTGATAGAATTTAATTTTTAAGGGACTAAATGATTTGCCCCCATAAAGGTAAGATCAATAATACTTTTAACCAACAAAAGTTGGGCAGAAAATGATCCCCTCAAATAATAGCTGTGACAAAATTGGCACATACATAGAAATAGCTAGCTATACATGGGTTGGTTGTTTTTGTTTTTGTTTTCTATTTCAAGGACCCTATTTTGCCTACTGGATTTCCTACTTCCTACTTCAAGTATTCAGTTGCAGAGTTCAGTCCAGGACCTGGTTGTAGGAGGCAGTGAGGACCACTTCTTTGAGGACATCCAAACTCTTCACTGGGATGCATTTGTGGCCTGGGTTTTCAGTGCAACATTGTGTCAAAATTTGCTAAATGAGCTTGCAAAGAACTCTGCTTACTTCTCTAACCAAGACCTAGATCCCTCTGACAGTTAAAGGACAAACTTTTAAAACATAAATGCATTTGGATTATTTATGCAACACGTAAGCATTACATAGTTTGTTATACTTACTGATGACAAGAACAAAGCCGGAAGCAAGAAACCTGCTTGAGTATCTTAACTATGAATGCACCAAGAAAAAATAGTGCAACTCAGAGACGGTTTCATCTTCCCCAACAAATAAGGTGTCTGTCTTTTAAATATCTCTATGGCTCACGAGAGAGGTCCAGAGTTAATTGCACCAACATTTTAAAAAGTAATAATAACGACTAAAGTCAATGCAAGACTTCAGGAACATCTGTTTAGTATCCTTTCCACAGCAGCAAAGAAAGACAACTATATTTATTAAGGCCACTCATGCTTAAATTCACTGTTTGTCCTTTAAAAATGCAGGTTTTCATCTCCCACTTGCATACACGTGGTAGGGTTTCTTCCATTGACAAGGAAATGGAGCAATACAAGAATTGCACATGTTTGCCAGACTCAGTCATGAGTTTTATGAAGTTATAACAATTTTAATTGTTTTTTAATACTCAGAGGAAGCAGTAGGAGTTTAATTCTCCTTAGTACCATATCACTGTATGTAAAAGACCTCAAAATTTGGTCTTTTTCCCTGGCATGTGCTTTAAACAATGACTGTATCCACATACATGTTGTGTAGAGCTATATACAGATACACAGCTTTTGTGATTGTTCCTCATTCATCAATGTTTTCATGTTTGATGCTGAAAATGATTTGGATTCCATGTTGTGGATACATTTTCTTTTAAAAAAAAATGAGAAATGACCCTTCATTTACAGAAAATCTAAGCTTACACTGTTTGCACAGCATTTGGATCTTGAAACGTAAATGAGCCCCAGCTTCTTCGTGGAGACCTGCGTGTACCGGGATGGTAAGAGTCTGAGGCTCGGTGGCATCCCCACCACAGGGATATGCGGGACACAGGAACTAGAGATAGGCAGGTGCCTCAGGCTTTTGCCACTTTCCGGTACATGACCTGGGTAGATAAAATTATGAATGATCAATTTAGATGTGCCATGCATTGTCAGAGACACACACCATGTTCTCATAAGGCGATTTCTTGGCAAGTATTAGTGGTTTAAGAAATTGATTTCATTTCCAACCTGGCCCAGAGGTAACTACTGGTTACACCCTCAAAATGTGGTTCTTCAAACAACAGATTAAAGAAATAGAGGAGGGTAAAGGCTCGCAATTTTTGGTGTTTTTTTGTTTCTTTGTCAAACACTCCATTCATCGTGGTATACAAACACTGCCAACACCACTCACTCACAGAGAACTGATACTTTTTGACAATCTAATGAGTTAGGAATGACCACTTAGATGGAACCAGCAGGATACTGGAGATGAGGCTAGTTGTCCAACGGAAACTGAATCCACAGTTAAAATCCTATGGAGTTCAAATTTATCCAATGATGTTTAAGTAACTTAAACAAAATGTTATCAAATAATGATATTCAGCAAAGATGATCACATTCAAAATGCCTACATCCAGACACAAATAGAAGACATATCACTTTTCTCCTCCTCTGCATTCTTCCTTTCCAACATATCCACATCCATGAGAAATGACACGAGGTGATGAAGGAAATAGCGAGTAGAACAGAATCACGCTCAATAATGTAAGTGAAAACTCCCCTTCCATTCTGATGGGCCGCTCCAGGTGGTGGTGAGTGATGTGAGCCGCACTGCAATAGATTATCAGAATATTGCTGCAGAGCTGCATGTTCCCTTTATTCAGCCCTTCTGATAGCTGCAACAAGAAAGCACATTAATTTAGCAGGGGAAGAAACTGGCAACAATATCTGAGCTAATCCTGACAGCAGGTTTCCCACTCTTCACCACTGCAGCAGCCTCTCCACGGCTCTCCATGGTTGGGGTTGGGTGGGAGTGGGGAGAGGGTAAGGGGAAGAAACACAGAGGAAGGCCAAAGTGAACAGAAAAATAGACTATGTCCTGCAAGTGCATCTGAGAAGAGACCTCTTTCAAAATATGTCACATATATGTATAAATGTCTCTTGATATACAAAAAAAGAAACTGAAGGAAATACGCCAAAATGTTCTAGTGATTATTTCCACATAATCAGACTACATGTCAACTTTAATTCTCTCCACACTTTTCTACAATGATGATGTTTTTAAAATTATTTTTTAACTTGACTTTATAGAGATTAAAGAAGGTTAAGATATCAGAGAACTTAGCATTCACTTAAAAAATATCTGAGAGCAACATTTTAAAAGGATATTGGATCCAGCAATTTTACTCCCAGGTATATACCCCAAAGACCTAAAACAGGGACGCAAACAAATACTCATATGCAAATATCCATAACACCATTCACAAGAGCCACAAGTGCCCACCAGCAAAGAAATGGATAAGCAAAATGTGTTACACATATACAATGGAGTATCACTCAGCCATAAAATAAAAGTAAAGTTAGGATGCAGGGTGCGACATGGATAAACCTTGAACACACCATCCTAAATGAATAAACTAGAAAAAGACAAATATGGTGTGAGTCCACGTATATGAAATATGTAAAACGGATACACTCATAGATGCAGATATCAGATGAGAGGTTACCAGGAACTCGGGTGGGGGAGGAAGAATGGGGAATTATTTGTCAGTGGGTTCACAGCTTCTGTTTGGGGTGATAAAACAGATCTAGAAATGACTAGTGGCGACGGCTTTACAACCCTGTGAAGGCACTTAATACCACGGATATGTACTCTTAAAGGTAAAAATGGCAAGGTTTATGTTGTATGTATTTTATCACAATAAAAAAAAATTTAAACAATAGTGGCATCTTCTTAAATTAAGCAGATTGAAACCAAGTTGGCTTTTATCCTCACGTCCAATGCCCTGTGCACATGCTCAACACCAAACATAAATGCAGCAGTCAACCATTTGTCTATTTCCTGCCCTGGAGAACAGGTACCCAGAAGCACCCCAAGGTTTCTCGCTGTCCCAGTGAGGGGCCCTGAGTGTGGACACAGGTGCATCCTGGGAAGCAACAGTGCAATGGGAGAGCAGAGGGGACCCTCCCACACCGCTGCTTCAAACGAGGCTTTCTCCCTGCTGATGCTCAACTTTGTATGCCTGTGCCATTTTCATTCACATATGGCCTGTGAGTGCGTCAGGGTTTCCAGGCACATGAGTTCAGCTATCTGGGAAATACGGCAGGCAGGGGAAAGATCAAACACACACACACACACACACACACTCATGTACACACAAGTCACCTTTTATATGTACCCTGAGCTGTCTCATTTGGTGGTTGATATGCAGCATTTTTCGAGTTATGCCGACTAACAAGAACTCCAAAGATCCCTGTGTCTGCACAGGTAGGCAGCTATTTCAAGCCATCATTAAGTAGTGCAAATGAAATATGTGGCTTGGATGAACTCTGCTAATTCATACTCTGAGGAGTTTGGTGTAACCCTTCTGGTTAGGAAACTTGAATCGGGGCAAAAAAATGACTTTTGCAGAGCCAGAAAGTTAGGGAGTTCCTAGAGCAGATCATATTACTCATTCTGGCACATAAACTCTCTGCAAACTTTGTATGAAAATTGTAAGTCAGAGCACGCTTTCTGTTTCAAGAGCGGTGCATAGCTCTAATTCTTTTGTGCATTAAGCATTTCTTAATCATCCTTTTAAAGGGCTGACCAATATATTAAAAGGCCACATGATTAAAAGGTAAAGAGAAACCCAAAGTAGTATTAAAATGCACCAGTCATTTTTTTTTTCACAGATGGGGAAATGAGTGAAAAATAATTACAGTGAATGTCTGATGTCCTTGATGTTTTTCCAAGATAAAGTAGCAAAGAACAATCATTTATTCAGTTGTGAGAAAGATTTCCAGCTGAGCAACAGGTCACAAACCAGAATACAAAGCCTCACAATTGTAGCACACTGCTTTTGGGTAAGGCTTATGCTGGAGACAAGAGAATTCTCAAAAACTGTAGCCATTCCTTCAATCAAACAATCCATTCACGAGGAGGCCTAAATGGGTTTGAGGAAAAAAAGAAAAACAACAAGGAAACCACAAGCGACACCGCCAGCATTTAGGAATGCAGATGATCCCTTGTGGGGGGGCAAACAAGCATATGCTTTAAAAAAAAAATAAAAACCGAATCCTGGCTTCTAGCAATGAGGCAATCTGGGCTGCCACCCACTGTGAGATGATCCCTGGCCAGTCCTCCCTCACCTGGACAGTCACAGCAACCCTAACTCTTCTCCAGCTTCCTCTCTTACAGTACCCAACTCTGCACTTTCAACATAGCAGCTGAAAATAGCGCCATGTCAATGGTGGCATCCACTCACAGTGCATTCTCATGTACAGTTTACAACCCCTGTTTACAACCCTGTTTATAATCCCATTGCCCTTAGGATGCAGGACTGACTGGACTCCTGGCCATACTGGCGAAGCCCCATCTGGCCTCTCTCTCTGCAGTCCTGTACTTACCCCTAACATTCCATTCTTTATGTTGCACCTAAGCTGAGCTTGCTCTGCAGCCCTAAAAATTTATTTTCTCCCCATCGCACAAGCATGTCTTTCTATTTAACATGCGTTTACACCAGCTCTTTATCTGATCGAGCCCTGCTTATTCTTCAGTTTCAGCTTGGATGTCATGTCTTCTCAAGAAGTCTTTCCTGACCCTCTTGGGTATGATATAGAGTAGGAAGTCTCACATATACTACAGGGTCCCCTTCTGATGAGTTATCTAGACCTGTACACCTAATATGGGGTGTATGTGTGTGTGTACATCCAATATGGTGTATGTGTGTATTATATATATATATATATGTATGTATCTTTTATTTTGAGGCAGGGTCTTGCTCTGTCACCCAGGCTGGAGTGCAGTGGTGTGATCATGGCTCACAGCAGCCTCGACCTTCTGGAATCAAGTAATCCTCCTTATCTTGGACCCCTGAGGAGCTAGGACTAGAGGCACATGCCCCCATGTCTGACTAAGTTTTGTATTTTTTATAGAGATGAGTTCTCACTCTATGTTGCCCAAGCTCATCTCAAACTCCTGGGCTCAAGTGTTCCACCTGCCTCAATCTCCCACAGTGCTGGGATTATAGGAATGAGCCACTAAACCCAGCTACCAGGTTAGAGAGCACCTCAGGTAGGCAGAATCCTTAAATCTACTCCCCACCCAAGATTCCCTACCCTAATCCCTGGCACAGGGGGTGAAAACATATCAGACCACATTTACCATAAAGTTACCTTACAGACGTAGCTACTCATCAGTTGACTTTAGTCTAAAGGGAGATTATCAACTGGGTGAGGTGGCACATGCCTGTAATCCCAGCACTTTGTGAGGCTGAGGTGGGTGGATCTTTTGAGCCCAGATGTTGGAGACCAGCCTGGGCAACATGACAAATACCTGTTTTCACAATAAAAGTTAAAGATTAACTGGGTGTGGTGGCAGGCACCTGCAATTCCAGCTACTTGAGAGGCTGAGGTGGGAGGATCGACTGAGCTGGGGAGGTCAAGGCTGCAGTAAACTGTGATTGTGCCACCCCAGCCTGGGTGATGAGTGAGACCTTGCCTAAAATTAAAAATAAAAAATTTTATAAGGAGCGATTATCTGAGCGGATCTAATTTAATGACAGAAGCCCTTTAATAGCAGAGACTTTTCTTTGCTGTAGCAGAAGAGAAAGTTAGGGAAATTTGAAACCAGGGTGTTGGCTGTGCCATGATGGAAGGAGCCACAGGGCAAGGACCTGAGAGCTTCCTATCCGACGGGAGAAAGGCACTCAGGTGACCGTCAGCAAAGGAACAAGGACTGCGGTCTTACAACCCCAAGGAAATGCATTCTGTCAACAACCCAAAGGAGCTTGAAGGCGAATGCTTCCTGGAGCCTTAAGATTAAAGTCCAGCAAAGTCCATCTTGACTTTGGCTTTTGAAATCCTAAGCAGAGAATCCAGTTGAGCCCACCTGGACTTCTGTCCTACTACGAAACTGTGAGCTAATAAATGGGTGTGATTTTCCACCACCGCATTTGTTATGTAGCAATGGAAGACTAACACAGCACTTCTTTGGGCCAGACAATGTGCTTGGTGCCTGGAATATAATAGTGAGAAAAACAGCCAAGGTCCATGCCTTCATGAAGCCTGTATAGTTGGGAGCAAGACAGTCAACAGATAGACACACAGGTCAGCGAATGAATGAAAATGTAAACATTTGCACCATGAAGGAAAGGAACAGGGCACTGTGACAGGGATGCCTAAAATGTACCAAGTGACTGCTGATAATTATAATGTCAACTTTTACTTTCTTTTGAGAGGAAAAGATGTCCACTACTTTTCAGTGGAAAAAGCAGATTACCATTTTATATGCATAGTTCCATCTTTTTGCATCAACATGCACATAAAGAAACATTTACAAGTGTATACACTAGAACATTATTAATATTTCTCTCTGGGTGGTGTTTTTCAAATTTTCTTCTTCATTTAATTTTTTTATTTTTATTTTTTTTAATAAAGTCTCTCTCTGTTGCCCAGGCTGGAGCGCTGTGGTGCCATCTTGGCTCACTGCAACCTCTGCCTCCCGGGTTCAAGCAATATTCCTGCCTCAGCCTCCCAAGTAGCTGGAACTACAGGCGTGAGCCATGGTGCCCAGCCATTAATTTTTTTCTCCTTTAGACTTTTTTTTTTTTAACTTTTTGGATTTTTTTTAAACTGAAGAATATATAAATATTATCATACTGAAATATAAAGCTATTTTCTTTGTGGGGAGAAA